CTACTGACAGATGGTTGGCAAGGACCCACAGCCCACACAGGCTACTGCTTACAGGCTGCCCACCACTGCCTGTGGCCCTTCACAGTTTCCTCATGTCAGTGGTGTGCATACTGCTGACAGTCCAACATCTATGTTCAGAGCAGGCCAATTGAGGGGCTAGTTGTAGTGAAACCACAGCTAGGTGCTGCAGTGATGAGCTGTGCGCTTCAATTCTGATCCATTCTGCCAGAACATCTCCCTGACTGCCCACTCACACAACACTCTACAGCAACAGCAAAACAGTCCCATGCAAAGATCTTCAGATTCATTCATGGCCCTGTATTTGGGAGGGAAGGGTGCAGATAGATTGTTAAATTTTAAAGTCCCTACTCTGTTGGAGACCAAGTGAAAGGAAAAAGCTATGCAGCTCACAGAACAGCTATACATCAAAGTAAATTCTGTATAGTTTGTCTTATCTCTCAAGCTCAATGTGGCAGCAACACAAAAACAGGAACTAAGAACACAAAAACCTTCAGAGCCAAACAGCCAAGTCAAAAAGTCCTGTCCAAAGACCTTGGAATGCCAAAGAGACCCTGAAATAGTACAAATGGTAAAGGAAAAATATTTATTATGGAAAATGAGGAAGGATACGGCCACTAGTTGTTTCACCAAAAGTGGGTGGGTCTCACTTTAAATCTAATCATGATTCATTCGTGCTGGAGAAACAGGGACTTTTAACCCATGCCTTCCAATTCCCCTTTCTGTGGAGTAAATGAGCCTGTGGAATGACAGGAGCCAAGGGCAGATGCACTCTTCAGAGCAAGTCCAGAAGTGAGGAAGTGCAACTTCCCTTCTTACAGAGCCTTCACAGCCTACTGGGTCTGAAAACCCTAACCTATCCTACTTCCATGATGAAGCCTATAACTGCCCCCAACACACAAAACCAAAGAAAGCAGCAACTCAGGGGAGCCTGGCCACAGGAATCCCCTGTTTTAGTTATCTGTTCTTTGTTATCTTTATTCCCCCCTTTTTCTTTTTCTTTTTTTTTTTTCCCCTCTCACCCCACTCCT